GCTTAGGAGGTACTTCCTGTTTTCTTTCCTTTCTAGACAGAATGACTCATTCCTTTGTTTCACTTCTGTGATTCTGATATTGCTTGTATCACATGGACATTTGTTTATTTGCTTAAATGTGTCTCTCCCTCACTAGACTACACATTTCTTGAGGTCAAGGGCCTTGTGGCATTTAACTTTGTCTCTATGGTACCAAGCACAGCACCAAACACAAGATAGACACTAATAAGTTAATTACCGAATTGTATTGAGCAGAGTGTTCTTAACTAGTGCGGGCACTATTGAAGTTTCTAGCTTTGCCCTTTCATCCTTCCCACTTGCATTCAGTTTACTCTTATCATAACAAAATACTGGTTGGCATGGGTGGAGGTAGGGGTAACTGTTTGTGATTGTTAATTTTAGGTGTCCACTTGATTGGGTTAAGGGGTACTTAGCTGGTAAAACATTTCTGTGAGGAGTGGGTAGCATTTTTAGAGATTAGCATTTCAATCAGGAGACTCAGTGAAAATGATCCATCATCACTCATGTAGGCAAGCATCATCCAATGTGTTGAAAGCCCAGATTGAACAAAAATGAGGAGGAAGGTTGAATTTGCTTTCTCTTTTTGAGGTAGGGCATCCTTTTTCTCCTACCCTTGGAGATGAGAACTCCAGGTTCTTGGGCCTTCAGGCTCCAGTGATCCCACAGGTTCTCAGGCCTTTGGACTCAGATGAATTACATCACTGGCCTCCCTGGTTCTCATCTTGCAGGCAGCATATTGTGGGACTTCTTGGTCTCTGTGATTATGAGTCAATTCCTATAAAAAAACCCTCTTTACCTATCTTTCTGCCAATCTGTCTGTCTATCCTATTGGTTCTATTTCACTAGAGACGTCTAATATTGGTAAAATTTAAAATCAGGTAGTGTTATTTCTTGCTATAATTTTGGGTTGAAAGGGTACTTTACTATGATGCATATGTATTTTTCTTGCCTTTAGATTTTTCTGTACCTTCCTCTCCCAGTTTTTCAACCCATTCCCATCACATCTTTCTATCACTGTCTCTCTATAACTGTCTGTCTAGGTTCAAAGTCAAGTCCATAATTAGATCAGAATTTTATGTCTCGATTTAGTGATGTGTCATCAGAAGCTCAGAATATTTCACATTTTGGGGTTAGGCACATTTACGTGCTATCATTCACCTCCATAAATTCATGCTACATTTAATCTTCTGACTATTAGCTTTCTCCACTGTCCAACCCTCCCAGCAATTCTGCCTTAGGGCACCTAAGAATGAGTGATCGCTATGACAAGAAGATAATTAATTAGATTGATGTTCAAAGAGTCCCCCTCAAGTTGTCAATACCCATATTTATATCATAATGCTATAATTTTGGCAGAATTATTTCCTTTTTATGAAAATCTGATGAAGCAATTTTCAGATTTCCTGACATGTATCAAAAATTTGAAAAATACACAGATATAGACCCATACTCCTATTAACTTTACTCCATTTTGAGTAATTTTACACTTTGGGGTTTTAAGTTGGGAAAGAAAAATAATCAAATATGGTTAAGAATGGGTTTTCAAACAAACTTTCTAGTCCATTTTTGAAAAATCAAGGCATTCTAATGTAACTTCACTTATTGAAACAGTTTAGTAAGAGAGTCTAAGTAAGCATTTGTAATCCTTGCTGGATGATAGCAAAATACAAAGGAAACAGTAAAAAGATTTTTCTTAATTTCTATAAAAAGTAATTTAGTAATTGGAGATGCTTCTAAAGTGCTACAGAATGTAGTATGTGTGAGACTTTAAATACTGTCTCTCTCTGTCTCTTTCACACACAAATAGTATTACAAGAAACAATAAACACAAAATCATTCGTAAAACTACCCAAAGAGAAAATGAGTAGTGAAATTTGTACTAGGTGATTGTTTTGAAATTATCCAATGAACATAAAGTCCATACCACATTTTTATATATCCAGATGTTCTAGAGATTGATGTTTAGGATGTTGCATAAAATTAGAAGTTTAGATGTCTATGGAACCCTGATAGTGTTTTTCCTGGGTGAACTAATTTTGTTATCCATAGTAAGTTGGCAGAAAATAACAAAACAAAATGATAGGTGTTTTATCAGCATTATTATTCAGAAATGCTGATTCTTTGATTTGAAACCTGTATTGTGAAACTTTCCATTTTATGTCACTGAAAAAGGCACATTTAATACTAACAAAAAGCTATTGTGAGAAGGCTTCCCTTGGTCCTTGACTACTGCGTGAAAAAAGTTAATCAATTAAGGAAGCCTATCACAGAGGATCATAAGTTCTACAACCAATGATCCCAGGACTGTAATTGGCCTTCCTGTTTGTATTATTACTCATGGAAGCTGGATGATTACTAACACCAGCAGAAGACAGCCCCTCACTGCCCTTTGTGTAAAGGAACCTTCAGCTAACATATCCCTTAATGATAGTCTGCAAAATCCTGATCAATGCACATATTCAATTCTACTTTTCAATTATGTTGATAATACATAATTGTATTATAGCATTTTAGCATTTCGCTAGTATTTTAGCATTTTGGAAGTGCAAAATTCATGAAATAATGTCTATCCAGTATCCAGATAAAGTCGCTCTGTGCCAGTATCCAGATAAAGTCGCTCTGTGCCACCTGGTGAATGTCCATTTAAGAACAAGTAACAAGTTCAGGTTCTGTTCACATCCACTTCTGGAACTAGGGCCTCTTGATAATCTTTGGGGATACTTTTAGGTGTGGGGCTTTAATGAAGGCAAACCTGAAGGGAGACTGTGAATAGCTTCCTTGGGATATCTACTCTGATTTTATGCTGAGATCCTAGTGCAGTAGAACACGAATACATTAAGTATCAAGAAACTGCACTTGCTCCAAGAAGGTGATGGTGGTGGTGATAGTTCGGATAACCCCTCATAATCATATGATATCTAAAATAAATGAAGTGAACATTTTTACACCATTATACCCTACAATACAATTCAATAAACATTATTAAATGCCTCTTGTATGAAAGGGCCAGGGATCAAAAGTCAACTTTATGAAATAAATGATTATAAACACTCTAATCATGAGAGTTCACTTTCCAAAAGCTCTGTACCATTCATTGTCCTTGTGGATCAACTTTTTACCGGTTTCTCAATGCCAGTGCTTAGATTACTTAGCTTTAAGTCATAAGTTTACTGCAGGCACTCGTTAATTCATTCAACACATTTGTTGGGCAGTTGGGATATATAGGCATTATACTAGATGCTGCAACTGAAGAACTCCTGGGGTTCTTGACTATGTTAACTGCCTTCCTTAGCCCTAGATGGGTCCTTTTTCCTGACTTATACCACAGGCTTGAATCCTGACTCCTCCCCTATTGATTCAAGCTCTGATATAATTCTTGATTGGGTTAATTATTTTACTCTGCCTGGTCTGCTGTTTGTGGCTCCTATCATCAACTCTTGGCCTTAGACCCTGATATCTGGGTTTGCCTCCTGCCTTATTGGTCTCTGCCCCAGCACCTAGCTGTGGGTTCTTGGGTTTATCTTTGATTTGTATATGGATATTATTACTAGAGTTCTGCTGTTGCACTCACAGATAATTTAGGGAGTCTATGCCAGTGTAAGAGTGCTTCTACTGATGGCTCTGGGTCAGCCTATTCTCTCAACAAAAGAGTGTATCTGCTATCTACTGCCACAATATGCAGTGTAACAAGCAACCATAACTCACAACCCAGTATAAAACAGTAAGCATTTACTTAGCTCATGAGTCTTTGGGTGGAGAGGAGAGTTGCATTCTTGGCTGGCAAGTCACCTACAAGGCAGATTTATTGATTCTGCTGGGGTTTCTCACATGTCTGGGGCCTAGGCTTGGACAACTGGACTGAGTCAGCCTTTTTCTTTACAGTCTCTCATCTGCAAGCAGGTCAGCTGGGTTTATGTTCACTGCAGTGGCAGGCTTCTAAGAAAGAGAGAAGGCAGGCGAGGATACTTTAGGTCTAGGCTCTGTATTGGGACAGTGTCAGTGTCAGTTTCATTGACCCTTTTTTTTTTTTTTTTTTGAGACAGAGTTTCACTCTGGTTGCCCAGTCTGGAGTGCAATGGTGCATTCTTGGTTCACCACAACCTCTGTCTCCCAGGTTCAAGCGATTCTCCTTCCTCAGCCTCCCTAGTAGCTGGGATTACAAGCATATGCCACCACACCCAGCTAATTTTGTATTTTTAATAGAGACAGGGTTTCTCCGTGTTGGTCAGGCTGATCTCAAACTCCTGACCTCAGGTGATCTGTCTGTCTCGGTCTCCTAAAGTGCTGGGATTACAGGCATGAGCCACCGCGCCTGGCCTTCAGTGACCCTTTTTGGTCAAAATAAGTTACAAGGGCAGCCCAGATTCAAGGAGTGGGGAAGTAGCTGCAAAACAAGTTGAAGGGTATAGCGGCAAAGTCACAATTAGAAGGAGTCTGGAAAATTGGGGCAACATTTGCAATCAGTCTTCCATAGTGAATTGGTTTCTAACCATTAAACATTGTGTTTCTCGGCAGCCTTTAGCTTGGACTTGTGTAGGAGTGGGGATGTGAGCCTGAAGTATGACAGAGAGAAGGGAGACTGATATGGTTTTGGCTATGTGTCCCCACCCAAATCTCATCTTGAATAGTGGCTCCCATAATTCCCACGTGTTGTGAGAGGGACTTGGTGGGAGATAACTGGATCATGGGGGTGGTTTTCTCCATACTGTTCTTGTGATAGTGAATAAGTCTCATGAGATCTGATGGTTTTTTAAGGGGTTTCCCCTTTTGCTTGGCTTTCATTCTCTCTTGTCTGCCACCATGTAAGATGTGCCTTTTGCCTTCTGCCATGATTGTGAGGCCTCCCTAGCCACGTGGAACTGTGAGTCCATTAAACTTCTTTTTATTTATAAATTACTCAGTCTCAGGTGTCTGTTTATCAGCAGCATGAAAACGGACTAATACAGAGACTAATGTGGTATTTTTCCATCACCCTATAGGGCAGCCTGGAGAGCTGTGAGCAGTGCCATAGGAGGAAATGACTGGTGAGTGAAATAAGCAAGGTAGGAATTGAAGTGTACGTGAAGTAGAGTCCATGCCTTCTCCTTCTGGATGTTCAGCTGGATCATCCTGACTCCTCCCACTTTCATCTTGGCTTTCAAAGGCAAGAGGAAATTATAAGGAATATTCTGGGTGGCTTTCATCCAGGAGTTCTGTGGGACCCACAACACCTGGATGTTAGATGCAACCAGATAAAGAATATTGGTCACTAAAAGGAGTTTTTCATCATAGATCTCTGAAGGTAGACACCTATTTGCAGGCTTCTCAAAAGTATGTAGCATGTGGTGGTAGTGACAGTGGGATGTTTCTAATGCAGGCTATTTAATAAATTTAAAGGTATTGTTGCTTCTTGTTTAGCATGCACACCTATTTGATTTGCCTTCAGAAATAACATTTATTCTGTTGTTTCATCCTTTTAGTTACCCATACTCACTGACTTGAAAACGTAGTGGACCAAACAACATTTCCTCTTTTTCTAGTATTGTTTAGAGACACAATTCATCTCCAGGGAAGCATTACTATAGAAAGGTTTTGCTGAGAAGCAATGTATATTTGCTCAGGTTCTTGAAGTATTATTGTTGAGTGCTGTGTACTTGTACCACATGGTTTTTAGGATAAATGAGCTTGGACTGGCTTGGCTTAGCAGTATTCTTTGAGGTGAGTTTACAATAGGTATACTCTGTGTGTTCAATTCACTCTACTTAAGTATAATTTATTTCTGTTGTTTTATAGTTTATTTACATCTGAATGCTTACTTTAACATTTGGTTAGTGTTTTATTTACTCATAAGAATGCATTAACTACAAAGAACAATCCTTCTCTTGTCATCAGCCAAATACATTTCATTATCCCTATATGAGTAAGATGTGTAAAATGATGGCATCTCAGAGTCTGCAGAGACCAGTCATTATTTCTCAGCTCTACTGATGCAAAGAGATGACAGTTTATTTTCCAACTTTATGTCTTTTTCTCCTCCATGCTGGATAATCCTCAGAAACGCCTGTGACTTTTATTCAACTTTTTGACTAACAATTGTCATGGCGTCTAACATGTTTTGGCCTTGTTTGACAAAACACTTCCTAGCAATGAGTTGACAATAGGTCTTTCTTCACTTTCTTGGCTCTTTCTCCCACCTCCAACACAGCACTGCCCCCAGGTGGGAGAAGGAAGGTGAAGCCTAGAAAAATATATCACCTTATGTGACCCCATGGAACATGTTGTATTTCTGGCTGAAGAAGCTGAAGATGAAAGATGCAAAGCCATGAAAGTGAATGACATAGTCTAAGGAAAAAGCAAGTTCTGTTTGGCTAAAACACAGAATGATGGAGATTAAGCCAGCACAGAGAGGGTGGATCTATGCTAATCCTCTAGGATGTAAGGAGTCTTTGAAGATTTTTTAACAGAGAGTTTCAATATCTAGCGGCATTGAGGAAGAAAAAGTTAAGAGAAGAGCATTAAAGATGGGGGTGATAGTTAAAAATCTGTCGCAAGAGACTAGACAAGACAGGACTAAAGCAGTTACAAAGATGGGGCTTTGTTTTGTTTTTCTTGTGAGACATTTTAGAGATTGTATTGACAGAATTGGACATCAAGGGTAAATGAGAGAGGAAGAATTAGATGATAATGTTAAGTCTGACTGGGAAATGACAATATTCTTAATGGCACTGGTAAAGATAGGAAAAGGAACATGTTTGGGTAGAAGATGAGTTCAGTTTTAGGTGTACTAAATATGACGCAGGAAATCAAAGTTGAGGTAGTCAGTTAACTGACAGAAGTCGCATCCTGTGTTCAGGAGAGAATTTGGGAGTAAGAGCTATAGATTTAGGAGTCATTGAGATATGTGAGACTAGCTAAAGCCATGAAATGAGCTAGATTGCCCAGTAAGGAGGTGTGGACTGAGAAAATAAGCATGGCAAGGATGGGAACAAACATCAAAATGGGTGGGACAAAGAAGAGAAATCAACCAAAGGAAGAGGAGAAGAAAAAACAAAAGATTTTAAAGACAATTTCTGATGAAAACTTCTGCAAATTGTTTCTTTGATTTAATCTAAACACAATATTGTATTAATAAGTACTATTATACTTACAGTACAGAATCCAAAAATACTTATTTGGATATATTTGCTTGCATGTACAGAAGGATGAAAGCTAGGGACAGAAAAACCAGTATTGATTATTCTCCTATTTTAAAGAGGTATACCCTTCTGATCATATGGGCAAAATCATTCCATGTGTCCAAGACCCTAATTAAAGCTAGTTTCAAGGCTCAGAGGTAGACTTCCTTGTGTTATTTGTCTCTATTTTTTTTTTTTTTGTCTTCAGTCACAATTAGTTTTAATCAAATCTGGTAATTATTTACTTTTTTAGATATATAAATATAATATAGTATTATCAAATAGGCCAGGCATGGTGGCTCACACTTGTATTCGCAGAACTTAGGGAGACCAAGACGGGAGGAGTGCTTGAGCCCAGGAATTTGAAACTAGCCTGGGCAACATGGCAAAACTCTGTCTCTACAAAATTACAAAAATTAGCCAAGGGTGATGGTGCACACCTATAGTCCCAGCTACTTGGGAGGCTGAGGCGGGAGGATCACCTGAGTCTGCGATGTCAAGGTTGCAGTCAGCCATGTTTGCACTACTGTACTCCAGCCTGGGTGACAGAGTGAGACCCTGTATCCAAAACAAAACAAAACAAAACAAAACAAAAAAAACCCAAAATTAATTAAATAGCACAGAAGTATTTTTTCTAAGCAGATGTTTTACTCCCTCAACTCAATTGCTTAGTCTTATTTCCCAGGACCCAGTGTCTGTATTTCTTCTATATTCTCCCAGAAATATCTGTTTTCATAATTTTTACACATACACCCACACACGTACATACAAGAAATTCTTAAAGATCTGCACACCTGCACAATACTTCAACAACCTTAATGTTGAATTCTTTCCAAGTGTGTGCAAACCATATTTACCGGACTTCTCTAATTCTAAATATGAAAGAGCTGGAAAGTTCCTTCTTATGATCTGTGAATGTGGAGTGACCTCTTTGTAGATGGTCTTTGGCAGAAGCCCAATGTTTCTTTGCTCAAATCTACTTATTTCTCAATTACCATCATCCCATATTTGTGTGTTATTTAGTGCTCCTTTTTGCATATTCAGGGCTATATGGATGTACTGTACTTGTTGGAGGATGGTCCATCCACTCTTCTTCTTGTACTTACTGGGACGGAACAGCCGCAGCCTCTCAGATAGTTCATTCTTCCTTTCCTTACCTACCACCATCTAAGAAAGGAAAGGCTGAGTATAGAGAATTTTTCACCTGTGAGATGCAATATGGCAACCATTAGAAAGCAGAAGAATGGGCCAGGTGCAGTGGCTCACGCCTGTAATCCTAGCACTTTGGGAGGTCGAGACGGGCAGATCATGAGGTCAGGAGATCGAGACCATCCTGGCTAACATCTTGAAACCTCGTCTCTACTAAAAATACAAAAAATTAGCTGGGTGTGGCGGCGGGCGCCTGTAGTCCCAGCTACTCGGGAGGCTGAGGCAGGAGAATGGTGTGCATCCGGGAGGGAGAGCTTGCAGTAAGCCGAGATTGCGCCAATGCACTCCAGCCTGGGCAACAGAGCAAGACTCTGTCTCAACAACAATAACAACAACAACAACAACAAAAAAGCAGAAGAATGGATCAACGGTTTAAAAGTTTTGAGAATAAATTATTTCCCTACTCTTGGAGAATCTTGAAGAAAACTCTTTACGGTGCTTGAGACTCTAGAAACCACTAGGTCGTCACTTTTTCCTTCTTATGGGAACAGATGCAACTAATAAAGTGTGTTCACTTCTTTTTTTATAATGCAAGGCTTGCTTTTGTCACCCCTTTCTGCATATCTATTCTGGGGAAGAATAAATAATATCTGTAAATCCCTTGAAAGAAATTGTCATTGTTTGATTGTACTTTTGATATATATAGCTCGCTCATGAAATAGGTTGTCTTTTTATATTTCAAATAAGGTAAAAGACTGAATTTGGATTTTATCATGGGCCCAAAAGTTCTGTTCATGATAATAAAGATCCAAAATCCTGACTTGCTTTTCTTAAACTGGTACTTGATGCCTGTGGTTTTAGACAAGAGTCCTTTTCTAACTACAGGGTGGGCAGCACCGGCTCATTAGAACCATTTGTATGACTGAAGGCAGTTCACCTTGAAACACTGCAGGGTAGTGTTTCAACACGTGGGTAGACCTTGGGCTTAGCATTTCACGGAGATTCCTGTCATGAAGAACAGACAGCCGAAGATGCCTCACATGTTATCAGAGTTCCCCAAATTTTGTTAATGTTTAGATGTCTAGAGTAATTTTTTTGTTGAGTTCCCTAAAGTAGACAAGATTTTCTTCATGTTTATGTCCTACTCTATAAGTACATAGCACAATGGCTTACTCTGAGGGAGCTCACAGAATGTTTGCAACAGGGAATTAAATGGTGAATGTGGTGCGTTTACAATTCTGATTGTTTTCTTAGTCAATTTAAGATCTATGTGGCGATAGATGAGTTGCACTGCCAATTTGTAGAGTCATGAGTAATACTGGAATAGTTTGTTGAAGTGTTGTTAAATATGCTAAGATTCCAATGACATGTCTATGATATAAGTAGTTCCTTAGTTGCATATTGATGTTTCTCAGAGACAGTCATTGTTTATTGTTTGTTTGAAAGTGGTTTGAAAAAATAGAGACTATCTTAAACCAGTGTACCCTTTGATTTCTTTGTGGCAAAAATATTTACTTGCTATGCTTCCACTTTGCACTATAGTGAATGTGCTAGCTTCTAGAAACTGCCCTGGAAAGTTAAGTGACACAATGAATTATTTTTGGAATGATAATTTAAGTCACTAACATCATTACTTCTCATTTTCTTCATGCTTTTGGACACCATTGGAGGTGGGGAAGGAGTACATTACTGTAATGTGGGGGTCATATAATATGAAATAA